CCCCAAAACCCCAAAACCCCAAAACCCCAAAACCCCAAAAACGAATAAAAAAATTGAATTAGCAATTAAAAGTGATATCAAGAATGTTACGGGTGTTCAGCATTCATAATGTGCATTTAGGGTCACTGGCTTTGTAAGCAAGTACAATGTCTTTGTCCGGAGAGGTTCAGACTCAGACAATCTCATCCTCATTTCCTTGTAAATAGTACTGTACTGTTGCAGGGAACGTTATATTTCTCTTTAAATATGCTAACGATAGCACAGGGTAGGTTTGAGTCATCGCTATAATTATGTTTGCATGCATTTTGTGGAATTTTAATAATTCAAATATAATCATTAAAACTTACTGCTTTTGTTATGAGGATCTTTATATTTCCCGACTGGATATTCAGATAAATCAGGCATTAAAATTCTCGAATCTATCAGCTCTACCTCAGCCTTTGGACCAAATTTTGAGTCTAGAAGATAAGGCATAATTAATGTACAGGAGTTGAGTATTGCCCAATATTGGTGCTTTGATGAATGCCTGATGAGTCTCACCAGTTGGCCTTTATTACATCGAAGAGTTGTTTTAATTTTATTCTCCTTGTAAGATTCGCCTAAAATTTAAAATTCCTCTTACAAAGCAGCCGAGAGTCGAGGGCAAATATGGTAGTATTGGCATACACCTTATTCTTGTTTTTGACAATAGTAAAGCTCTGATGCTTCGAACCAGCAGCAGTAGAGTAAGTTGAGTTTTTAGAGTAAGTCATCGAAATTTCTGAAGAAGGGTTTCTTTGTGACAACCCTTCCCGGTTACTTTCGTCGTCCATGCTACTGTCCATCTCAATTGATTTAGAACTTTCTGAACAAGAAATATGATCGCTCAATCTTTTCTTTTCAATTTCTATAATTTTAAGAAACTACCGAGGAATATTCGTACCGTGAGAATCTTTAGATCGTGATGAAATTTCATGACTTGTTTTATTCTCCTTCTGTTCCTCTATAAAGATGAGTTTATAAAGAATAACACACCTTGTGTAAATGTTTCTTTCCCAGAAGTTTGTCTTGAAATAAGATCTCAATTCCTCAGAATATTGATAGGGTATGACTTGCCCTTCTTTGTTGACATTTTTACTAAACAAGCTATTAAATAGGGTATCCTTACATTCTTCTTTGCCTTCCTCCAAGCCGATCATCTCTTCGATCTTGGTGAGTCTGTTTAAGTCAATGCCTTCATCAGGATTAAGCTTTGAGTGTTCTTTAGCCTTCAGGATCTGTTGTTCCTCTTCTTGATCGAAAATATCGTCTTCTAATAGGCTGTTGATCATTTGGTCTACTTCATGATAAGATGCGTTGAGGTCAATATCTTTATGGCCCTCATCCACTGTCTTGGTCTCTTCAACCTTTGAGTTCATTTCTAATTTCCAATTATAAAACTTTTCTCAGGGGTTTTGGGGTTTTGGGGTTTTGGGGTTTTGGGG